CTCGAACTTCTTGGGCTTGGAGAGCTTGAAGCACATCAGCTTCCTGAAATGCTTCTCCCCTCGCGTCAGGCCGGACGCGATCCCGGCTCCGATGTGAATCATCGGAGCCTCCTGCCCGCACGCCATCCCACTCGCCACCGACAGGATCGTCCCGACGACCTTGACGAAGATGGCTCGCAGCCGCAAGAAGTTCTTCACATGAGTTCCGTTGAGATAAGCCTTGATCTCAGGTATGCCTCCCGCCGCCGCTGCCGGCTCCACCGTGGCCGTCAGCAGCGCTCCCATGAGCACAAGGGCCCCGTTGTAGAGGACAAAGAAGACGAAGGCGTGCGAGTCAGGCTGCTCCGAGTCGAAGAGGCTTTGAAGAACGCTGTTCCTGACCGCGCTCAGATTCTCGATCATGAACGCGATGAAGTTTCCGGTCAAGGCCACGAACAGCCCGATCAGGATGGACAGTGTCCACCGCGTGAAAGTCTTCCCCGTGTACCCGAAGAACTTCCTCGGGGGTCTGCGCGAGAGATCAACCCAGTAAGGGTTGTTGATGGTGTCGAAGTCCAGTGACTCCAGCTCCGGGCCCTTGCCGACGTCGGAGGGGATAGACGAGGACGTGTAGAAGCGGACGTTCCTCTTCCTCTGTGCTGCAGCGTCCTCTGTGCTCTGGTGGTTCTCCCCCCCACCCTCATCGTTGGAGATATCAAAATCGTCCGACTTGTTGGCAGCCGCTGCTCCGTTGCTGCCCCATTCGGCATGTCCGTTGGAGTCTTCCAGCAAGTTAGTCCTCAAGTCGCCGTCGTCCCTCTTTCCCTTGCCCATCCTGGAGTGAGGGCTGAGGAGGGAGTCAGGGAAGGGCTGGTATGCCACAGTCTCGGAGGAGAGGGAGAGGGGCTGGTAAAGATTCTGAGCTGCAGGATGTGGGAGATTGGGCACCCTAAGGGCCTTCTGTCCTGCCCGGTTGCGCGATGACGTCTTGACGACTTGCGATGGCTGAACGTGGTCCTCTCAATCCTGCGGAAGGAAAGAAGTCAGAGCCTCGCAAACAAGTCTTGTTCGACACTCCTGAATGCTAGTCTACTCTCAGGGCCAAGGGGAAATGCGCAAAGCTCAGCAGGGTTGGGGAGGCAACAGCTAGCCGCAGCAGCGGGTCATCCATTGTGAGCAAGGAACATCTTCGTTTACTCAGGAAATGTGAGAGTGACTCGAGGTAGCCGGAGGCAGAGGACGAGGATTGACATAGGGCAAACCATGTGTCGTTGAAATTGAGGAAGAGGGCAGGGGGGAGAGAAGTAGCATGCGGATGGGAGGAGTTGGCAGGGACAGGATGAGGGAGGAGGGAGGAGGTGAACAGAGACAAGGAACTCTAGGAAGAGGAGGAGAAAGGCAGCAACGCGGGTACGCGGCGCGATTTGAGCATGTAGAGGCTTTATCAAGTGATCAAGGGGCAGAGGGGGTGGGGTGGTGAACATTTGTTTGGTTTGTACGTCTAATGTCACTTGATACCGGTACTTTTATGTGAAAAAGGCAGCGTATTGAACGGGTAGTATCTAAACGTAGGGGTAGTGGGGGTAGTTGGTCCTACAGTTGAGGGGTAGAGAATGGAGGATTGTTTGTGGTGATGTAAATCAGAGGAGGTGAGATGAATTTCATGTTGTGGTTTGAGAAGAAGTCTTACACAAGTTTGTCTTCCAACAAAACTCAAGTCAATGCAAGACAGATGGAGAAGGCTTGAACAAGGTGATTTTCCTCGTTCGTTCAATCCTGTTGACAGATTGCAAGGTTACGAAAGGCTGCAGTGTTTAAGAAATGGTTGAATTTTTCACGAGTGAAGTCTTGTTGGCTAAGGTCTGTCTTGATGTACCCAAATATTCCATTTTCACGATTCGAGATGCTCATGAGCATCACAGAAAATGACCACCAATCCTTTATACATATTCTCTGACATTATGTTACACCTGCACACTCTAATCTGACTTGACTGTCTTGAACGCAAAACGTTCTTTCAATCCTTGCCAGTAACTCCTGCAGGCAGCTAACAGTGAGAAATTTCCACTCCAAGTCTGCAGCAAAGGCTCACCTATGACGCCTCCCCTGCTTGGAGATGATGAGATCTTCGAACCTTTCCTTCACACGGATCTGAGAGCATCTCGTCACCAACTTCAACTCACAGCAGCAGCAATTCTCACCGCAAGGGATTCCACCGTGTCCCCCTCCTCCACCACGACGGGCTCGGCAACGTGCCCGGTCACCTTGACAGGAATGGGGATAGCGAAAATGCCCAACGTGACCCAAACAACCAGCGCACTGCTCCACAAGAAGTTTCGCAGCCCCTTGGGAAGTCTCCTGATGGCACGACCGTACGCGTAGTCCAGCCCGAGGAAGCTCCAGATCTCATAGAACGGATTCCATCGCATCTCTTCCGAGTTCTGGTTGAAGCAAGGGATGATCTTGAAGCCGGGACCCATCTCCAGTGCTAACGACGCAAACCCCCTGCGAGGATTTCCACTGAACGAGGTCCAGTTGAGTTCGTAAGCATGCTTTCCGTTGCTTGCGACGTGGAGGAAAGCTTCCTCGACACCGCCGGGTATGCATGCAGCAAGAAGATTCGAGTCAAAAATCTGCCGCACTGACTTCCTTGTTCCGGCTATTCCTCCAAGTCGAATAAAGATGCTCTGATACCACCAGCTCCACGAGTGGAGCAAGCATCGGATTGGTCGTCCAGTATAACGCTGGGGAACAAGAGCTGCGATGGGTATGTCTGTGTTATGAGTAGAATGAAGTGAAACAAACATGGCTGATCCATCCTTGGGAATGTGATGAGCTCCTTCAAGCGTGTAGTTGTGGAAATATTTGGCGTAAATGACTGTGATGGATTGAACCATCTTGTATAACCATCTCGAACTTAACCATTCATCCTTTCAAGAATGTCAAATCATCTTTGATGAAGATTCTTATCAAAGATTACCGAGAGGTGTCTTTCGAACAGTTCAGAGTAGTTGGTGCAGTACGAATCACTTGAGCTGCACGATTCATTTTCATCGCAGCATTCTATCTTGGGTTGGCATGCTTTCAATCGAAGCGTGGCGAGACTCGATAAGTTTGAGACAGTCATGTTAACCTGGAATACATAGATCATGAGACGTATTAACACCATATATAGTTGTTTCTGCGTCGTCAAATGCGATATCGACTAGTTGTGAGGTGTCAAGATCAGTCTAGCAGGACGCATAGGGAATGCACGAGAGTGTAGATAATCGCTATCAAACCAGCAGGGCTGTTGATTAGATGACATGCGCACAAGTGCTGCGCAATGCACTGCCATCTCGTTGAGTGGCTAAAGGAGCGAGGATCGGGTGAGCATGCAATGCTGAGGCAGAAGAGAAGACTAGCAACAAGAAAGAGTGCAGGTTGATCGATGCGAAAGATTCAGCTTGGGGATGTGGGAGAACAAGGAAGGACGTGCCATTCTATCACAACAAGGGTAGGGGAAGCGTGATGGGAGCCGAAAGCCTGCATTAAAATGCGAGAGCGCTGAGGGAAGATAAGCTAGGGGTAGGGGGTATATCTAGTGGGTAGGGTGCCTAGGGTAATAGGGGGTGAAAATTGAACTATAGAGGGGTTTATTTTAATGGGGTAGGGTGGTCTTCTAAAACAAATTTTATATGGAGTGGGTGTAGAGAAAGGGTGGGGTAAAGGTGGCTCTTGGCGCAGGGGTGGACAATCATCACTGTTACTCCGAGGGTGGGTGGAGAGACAGTCACTATTGTAGGTAGGGTAGTGGATTCCAACAAACTGTGTGTACAGGGTGGGGGTACAGGGTGTTCGAAGGAGGGGTGGAGTTGTATTGGTGAGGATCTGAAAGGGGGTGGGAGTGTCGGACAGCAATTGAAGCCAGAATAGACAAAATATGAGGGGTCCCTAGTGGTCGAGTCCGAAGGGGTGATGAGCCCTGGAGCGAAGGGGGTAGGGTGGGCAAACACTGAGGGGATTACATGGGGTGGTGGAACTGGAGAGGTAGGGGTTGGCTTCCTCATCGAAGGGGGTGGTGGAGCGATGGGTGTCAGCACAAAAGGGGTCAGCAAGGGGTAATCAATAGGGGTCATTATCGTGATTATGGCAACCACCGGTGGTGTGCAAATCATCGACAGGGGTCTGTGACTGTCGGCAGTCATGGACTGGGGGGACCCGTGGGGTGGTAGATTGACATGTATGGGCCCCTGACCGCAACAACTGGGGGTATCCTACCCCACCCAGTAATTTCACTTGAGATATTCTAATCTCATCACCACCCCTTATGGTATTCTATGGACCCCCACCCCCTACTAAGTGAAGTTGCCTTATGCAGAGCTGTCAGCGATATTGACTATAATATCGGTTATATTGACTATAAACACCCCCAGGGTCAAAAACATTTGACTACCCCTGTGACTCACTAGTACGAAAGTACCCCCATATTATACTGAGTTTTAGGGGTGGGGGTGGCTGGCGGTGCTGGTATATGAGGGGGATGACTTGGAGGCGCGAAGCATGACGGTAGGAGGCAGCGACAGGCCGATGAAGAGGAGAAGGCTGCAGGTATCAGACAAGACGAGAGAGGCAGGAAGAGAGGCAGAGGTAATCGATCCTGACATAGAGAAGAAAAGGAAAGGAAGGAGTGTATGCGAGCACGGGCGGCGGCGATCGGGATGCAAGGCATGCGGGGGCAGCAGCATATGCGAGCACGGGCGGGTCCGATCGAGATGCAAGGCATGCGGGGGCGGCAGCATATGCGAGCACGGGCGGGTCCGATCGGTATGCAAGGCATGCGGGGGCAGCAGCATATGCGAGCACGGGCGGGTCCGATCAAGATGCAAGGCATGCGGGGGCAGCAGCATATGCGAGCACGGGCGGCAGCGATCGGGATGCAAGGCATGTGGGGGCAGCAGCATATGCGAGCACGGGCGGGTCCGATCGGGATGTAAGGCATGCGGGGGCGGCAGCATATGCGAGCACGGGCGGGTCCGATCGGGATGCAAGGAGTGCGGAGCTGGGAGCAGCAGGTATAAGCAGGGGAGGAGCTGATCAGGGGCGGACGTGATCTTGCTATGTTTTTGGATTATTGCCTTGCAGGGATCGCATGGTAGCGCTGGGCCAGGAGGGAGCTGAGGAGGGGAGAAGAGGGATGGCAGCGAGTGCTGGGCAGGCTTAGACGGTGGAGGTGTCGATTTGCGATGGGAGGCGCCTGAAGGGAGTATGGATGCGTGCTTTGCGACGATCATGAATGGCACTTGCATGACTAGATCGGGGAGGTTGTCGGCTGGTACTTGAAGATTGAGAGCATCGTGTAGGAGATCTGAGAGGAGGGGCAACAGCTTTCTGCGACGTCATTGACAACTACGGAGAGCTCTTGCAAGCAGACCTGGACATCGGGACTACGGCGGAGAAGCCGGGAAGAGGGACTTGCACGGAATGCGTGAGGAGGGCAGCTAGCCGGACCTCCTCACGGTCTTCAGCACGAGCAGGAGGAGATGCACCGGACCGACGCCTTGCAAGCTCTAGGAGCACAGCGGCTAAGGAGACCCTGAGGCGGTTGCTCGGGAGGGTCCATGAGCGGCAGGAGACAAGTGAGGGGTGGAGGAAGAAAAGCAGGAAGAGGTAGAAAGGGGAGAAGGAGGACTCGAGAGGACACTGGGATGGACTCGAGGAACTTAGTGAGGAGACGAGGACCGTCTGACGAGGCCCGACCATTACCGGGGCCCGGCGGTGGGAAAAGAGCGGCTCAGTGGCGGCCGTGAACAGACTAAGAAGGAGCAAGTGGAGTAACTTGAAACTTCGGACTGAAGGAAGACGGTGCAGTCAATACTCTCCGATCCGACCTCGGAGTTCACCCATCTGAGTGACCGTCCGGCGCACTCCAACCGGGCCCGGCTCGGGCTAGTACTACCGTCACTGAGTCAGTGTACGCCGGGTCCGACGGCCCGATCCGATCATGGGCCGTGACTCTGCCGTGACTGTGGCAGGATCGGACCGTACCGGCGGGGGCCCACTGTGTCTTGAGGCAGACTCGTTTTGAATGATATAAAAATTTGAGAAAAGGCGGGAATGCGATTGAGCACGGGAAGACAGAGGAGGACGGCGGGGAGAGGAGAGAGGAACGCACAGCAACATTGCTGATCGAAGACGCCATGTAGCTGGTTCTCGCTCCATGCGAAAGGTCAGAGGGACAACTGACAAGGATGGAAGAGGAAGAGGAGGGAGGAGGAGTGCGCACAGCTGAGAGCAGATCTAGGACGCCAAGCATGAAAGCAAGGAGGGAAAGAGATAGGCAGGTTGAAAGCGAGGAAGAGTGATGTGGGATGAGAGGTTGTCTGGAAGCTTAGGAGAGGCAGAGGAGGGGCTAAGGGTATGGGTGGATCGAGATGCTCAGAAAGAAGGTTACAGTAATGGATTAGGGGAGCACAGCAAGCGACAGTGAGATGGAACCTTCCGCACATGCATCAGGAAAGCGAAGATGTGTTTCGATTCGTAGCTCGCACATCATGCTGCAAGAAAGTGTATACCAGCCGATCTTTCTCAACGCTCCTCCTCGATAGAACATCAGACAAAGTGAAACTGAAACAGACTGACTGATTTCGCTTTATGGAATCTGTGCGCTGCTCACTTCTTTGCAGCTTTGGTGACTTGTATTTCCTTGCAGTGTAAGCATGAAACGAAACCTCGAGGAGGCTTGCAGCGATGAACAACAGCAGCAGGAAGGGACTGCTTGCAAGGCGCGCTGTCTCGATGTCGAGGAGCCCACGGGAGGAGGGAAGGAAGAACCTTGTGACCCGCATGATGCTGACGCGAGCAAGAACGCTGCCAATGGGATCTACGACGAGAATGACGAGGCCTTGAAGGGCAAGGACGATGAAAAGCCGAAGGATGTAGAGCAGCGCACAACAAACACACTGGAAGATTTGGATGTGGAAGCGGCAGCAAGGGAGGTTGAGTCCAAGTGTGGACTGCAGATTGCTGTGGACAAGACTAGGCTTCAGGTCTGCTGGGAGATCAACGACGATGAGGAGGGTGTCAGCGATGAAGTCTGGTGGGGATGCACCGTCGCTCACCTCATGTACAAGCATGAAGAATACGGGCCTGTGTGGCTGCTGAAATATGACGAGATGAGCGTGAAAGGAACGCCGTTCCCTGCTGAGGAACGACCAGTTGCTTTCTGCTCCAAGAACCTCCTCGTTGATATTCACAGCGGAGAGAGCAAGGAAGGAGGTGGCAACATCGGACTGATGCTGTGAGTTTATCACTTCGACTTCCTGTCTACTTCCACCCCCTCACGAACGTTGTCAGGTGGAAGATGGAGAACTCTGACGAAGTGCTCCTTCCTATCCTCTCTGTACATGACGCCGTCAAAGTGAAGTACTGAGCTATTGTGATTTCTCCGCTTCTTGGTTTTCACACGGTAAATCATTCAGGATAGAAGGAAAGGAGGAAACTAGAGACGCAGTCATCACCGGAATGAATCTCGATGGGACATATCGTGTGCAGTATCAAAACGAGGCTGAAGTCATGGACGTGCGGAGAGATCTGATCGAACCCAACGAGGAGCTTGAAGAGTCACACGAGTCTGAAGAGTCGTCCATCGTTGCAGGAGACATCGACAGGTCTGCCCTTGAGCTTTGTGATCTTGTGTCGATGACAGTGAGTTTCCCGGTTATGTTCATGACCTTTATGTATTGTTACAACAACGTGTTAATGACGATGTGGTTTTATAGCTTCTTCGAGATTTTCACAAGCATCTTCGTGCAAGGGAGCATGTTTCAGAGTCTCGATGCAGAGAGGCAGAGGATTGCAGCAGACAAGATCGCGTCCATGCGGCCCATCTTCAGGTAACATGCTTCCTCCTTCCTCTTGACTTGCCGACCCTTTTGCTTCTTCAGAGAGGAGCTCGAAAAGATCATGAGCCAGCGCGGAACAGGAGCAGTTGTAAGCGGGGAGGATATTCAAGATATCATCCCGCGTGTGATGCAACGAGTGCATCAGAACGGGGGCGGGTTGCTGGTGAACTGAAGTGTGGATCCAAGAAGAGGTGTCGGATGTCGATGACGGATGAGTAGTTCAGACATTGATGATAGTTTTGTGCTTTAGTAAACTTCTCATACTCGGAAAGCTCGAAACAAGAGCACACAGGTAGCAAACAAACTTCTTGTCGATCTCCACTTGGCAAAAGCAGCAGAGCATAGCAATAAATATCCATCTTGCAACGGCATCCCAAGCACGAAAGCCCTGAATAACCCCTACAAAATTTACTTCTTCTCCTTGGCCTTCTCTGCAAGAGCAGCAGTGGCCTTTCCTCCACGAAGACGACCAGTTCTGCGAGCTGCGATGAGACCAACCTGTCACGTCATCAGTTTCCTTCCAATATTCCGCAGTATCATCTACCTTGCGACCGTGGGCCTTGTCGCGGCGAACAGTGGAGGGCTTACCAATGTGCTGATGGTTACCACCACCAAAGGGATGCTCTACAGGGTTCATACAGACACCACGAACACGGGGCCACTCGTTCCTCTTAGCCTGCACGGAAAGTGTCACCATAAGAGCACACAAATCAAGAAAGACGAGGATAGCAAACGGAGGATAGGAGGAGGATGGTCACCTTGTACTTGTGGTACGCGGTACCGGCCTTCAACATGGGCTTATCAATACGTCCTCCTCCAGCTATGATTCCGATCATCGCGCGGCACTTGTTGGAGACAGTCTTGCGGGCTCCGGATGGAAGCTTGATGCGGGTCTTGCCGGCGTCAGGGTCCTGGGTCATGATGGTGCAGTAGTCGCCCGAAGCGCGAGCCATGGTTCCTCCGTTGCCGGCGGCGTGCTCAACGTTGCAGATGACGGTACCCTCCGGCATCTCAGAGAGGGGAAGCACGTTGCCAACGGTGAGCTGGGCCTTCTTCCCGCAGTAGATGAACTGACCGGTGTACATGCCCTCGGCAGCAGCAAAGAGCTCCTTCTCGACCTTGTACGAGTAGGGGGAGCGGAACTGCACCTTGGCCAGTGGCGCACCTCGGCCCGGGTCGTGGATGATCTCCTTGATCACTCCCTTGATGTATCCATTCCTCTCAGCAAAGTCCAAAGTGCGGAGGGAAACAGCTCCTTTCCTGTGCTTGGTATGGGACTTGAAGACAGAACCAGCACCACGACGCTGCGCGCGGATACCGACACCCTGAAAGTGATGTTAGGGGCTGCGATCACTCGCTCCAGAGGAAGAGAAGGAGGGAGGAGAGTGAAATGAAACATTGTGAGACACAACACAGAGTTCTGATTCATCTTCACAGAAATGGAAGAGATCTGACAACACATCGAGAGAACGAGTAACGGGGGGGCACGGTGAAATAGCAGTAGACATTCGAGATAGCGATGGACAGTGACAAACGTGAGGATGCGAAGGATGCAAGTAGTTCGTTACACTGAAGTAGAAGGACGATCGAAGGAGGAGAGGAGAATTCATCACACATCGTTTCAGCATTCACAGAGTACATGTGATACAAAAAACGACCAGAAAACCGCAGGAGTACAAGTGGAAACAAGTCAAATGGCAAGATCACAGCATGTAAGCATGTGGACAGTTGTAACATCAGCACGGAGAGTGAGGGGAGGCAGGAGGCAGCAGGAGGAGGTGGTAGCATGAGCTGCAGTCTGTTTTCGGCTCACCATGGCGGCGGGGAGGGCGTGCGGGTCGTCCGCACGAGGCCTTTTTTTTTAGACAGTTCGTTACGCCATAACCGCTACCAAAACGGACAGTAACGATGTAACTGACAGTCTATAGAATGTAACTGTCTGAAACGGCTTCAAGTGGTCGATGACGGTTATTTCGTTGCATATGTTGCGCGCATGTAACGGCCGGAACATCCATGAAGAATGGCATTTGCCTGCTCGCCCTGGCTCTTGCCATGGCGGGCGGGGGAGGAGGGGGAGGAGGAGGGGGAGGAGGAGTGGAAGCGAGAAGTGAAGAAGCAGGGAGGAAGAGGATGACTGGCATGCAACTGGTTCAACAGGGAAGGATGGAGGAGGCTGCGCAGGTCAATCTTGGTCGCGTCTTTGCACAGTTGACGGTGTTCCTTGCGCTCCGCCAGGCTCTCGGGGAGGAAGCAGCAGCCACTGGATCTCCCTACGTGTTCTACAACCTGGCCTTGACATGCAGCCAGCTCGGGTGGCAGAAGAGAGCAAGAGCCGCTTTGCTCGAGGCGGTTCGGAGGTTCAGGATCCCACAAAGAGTACTTAGGGCTGACGCAGCTCATGCAGATCCCCGACGTTTTCAGACGCCTGGATCAACGCGGGAGTTGTGATGCAGCAGGAAGGGAAGGTGATGCGAGCACAGGAAGTGTCCTCAGCTGCTGATCCTCTACCAGGTCCTTCTTGCCATCAGGTGCTACAAGACAGCTGCAAGGACGAGCTCGGGAGACAAGAAGGCTATGGCGCTATACAACATGGCGGCGATTCTGATCCGTATGGACAGACTGCGAGAAGTAGACGCCTTCCTCTGCTCTCCTCCCCTCCTCCTCCATCTTGTCTTCTTCCTCTTCCACGTTCTCGATCGCTCTCCCTCATTTTCTTCCTGTTCCCCAGTTCGGCTGCTGACCCTCCCGCCAGGCAAGAGACACCCTCGCTTCAGCTCTCCAGCACAACCCCAGCATGGCAGTCGTGTACGATGGTCTTGGGACGGTGAAGCTGAAAGGAGGCGATCACAAGGGCGCCCAGGGCCTCTTCAAGCGAGCTATCGCCATCCAGCCGAACCTTGTGCCTTCTTCTTCTACTCCTCCTCCTCCTCCCGTGATCGTGTGACTTGAGCAGGCGGAGAGCTACTTCAACCTTGCCAGCATCGAGAGGAAGAGGTAGGCATCCGCTCTTGCCATCTCTCCGTCTCCTCAGTTGCCTCCCTTGTGTCCTCATAATCCTTCTTGTGTTGTCTCCTGCATCTTCGATCTACTTGAAGCAATCACTCTTCCTGGGCTGTCTTGTTTCTTCCAACTTCCTTCTTCTGCTCTCCGGATTTGAGATGATTCACTCTGACTTTCTTCCCCAACTTGTTTCCTCCCCCTCAACCTCCTCCTCGTCTACCTTGCCGCTGCCTCCTCCGCTGCTTCTCCATCAGAGGAAACCCACAACGAGCCTTGTCTCTCCTGCAAGAGTCGGCGAAAGGAACTCCCAGTGGAACTTCTTCCCCAAGAATCTTCTGGGCTCAGGTGAGGCGATGCAGCAGCAGCAGCAGCAGCAGCAGCAGCAGCAGAATCATCCAGTAGTATGCTCATGGGCGGAGTGGGACAGACAGGAGAGACCAAGGGTCCGTTCGTCACTCTCAGAGCTTCTGATGTCAAAATTTCAGCTCCACAACAACCTCGGAGCCTCCCTGCATGCGCTGGGAAGGTGATGGAAACAACATTACAAACATGCTCGACAAGCTTATTGATGCTTCTCTTGCCTCCCTGCATGATTGCTGCTGTCCCCGAGCAGGTTTGAAGAGGCTGTTGAACAGTTCGACCAGGCCATATCCCTCGTCCCCGACATGGTCATGTCATATGTCAACAAGGTGACTCCTCCCCTCTCCCTCCTCTCTCCCTCCTCCTCTCGCCCTCCTCTCTCCCTCCTCTCTCCCTCCTCCTCTCTCCCTCCTCCTCTCTCCCTCCTCCTCTCTCCCTCCTCCTCTCTACTAATATTTCGATCATTACTGCGGATACTGAGATCGTGACCTTCTTCTTGCGTCAATATCTTCTACATAGTCAACTCGATTCCTCCTCACGCTCCCACAGTGTCTATTCCTCGCGATAGGATCATGCATATGGTCGGGTCTGCTCTTGTTCTCCAATCAGCCAGGTGCTAGGTACTGCTGCATCTAA